TTCAAAAAAGCAACTCTTTGTTTCATTGATCCTTTATGTTGGTTTTCAATTCTCAATTTCATTTATTTTGGCTCTGATTTTATTAATTTCCTCTCTTCTATTGGTTTGGATTTTGTTCTTCTTTTTCTGAGGACTTGAGGTATAATTTTAGATTATTTATTTGGTATCTTATTTTTTAAAATGTATGAACTCAGTGCTATCGGTTTTCCTCTTAGAACTGTCTTCATGCTATCCCAGAAATTTTGACATATTGTATCATTATTCTCATTTTTTTCTAAGAATTTTTTTATTTCTTCCCAATTTCTTCTGCTATCCATTTGTCATTTTGTAGTACAGGCTTTGTGGTTATGAATTCTTTTAGTTTTTCCTTATCATGGAAGGTTTTTATTTCATCGTCAATTTAAAGAACAATTTTGCTGGATATAATGATCTCGGTTGGTTTTCATTTTCTTTCAGAGTTTGGTATGTATTATCTCAAGCTCTCCTGGCTTTAGGGTCTGGGTTGAAAAATCTGAATTAGTTTATCTCTAATTGTGACCTGCCATTTTTCTCTTGCAGCTTTTAAAATTCTATCCTTATTTTGTATGTTAGGCATTTCATTCTAATATATCTTAGAGATCTTTCTTGATCTTGCTTGCTTGGAGTTCTATATGCCTCTTATATTTGAATATTCCATCTCATTTCTAACATTTGGAAATTTTTTAATATTACTTCAATAAAAAGATTGTATATCCTTTTTAGTTTGTATTTCAGAGCCTTCATTTACCTGAGTGATTCTTAAATTTGGTCTCTTGATGTTTTTACAAATTTCTTAAATATTCTGGTCCTGGTCTCTTAACATCTTTTCTTTATGGTCAACTTTATTTTCAAGATTATATACTTTGTCTTCAAGGGATCAAAATTGATCTTCAAAGTCATCTAATCTATTGTGATGCTTTCCATTGAATTTTTAATTTGACTTATTGAGTCTTTCATTTCCAGGATTTTCATTTGTTTTCTTTTCACAATCTCACTCTCTCTCCCTTTTTTTTTTTGAAATAGTCTTTTAGTTTCTCTCATTTCACCTCTTACATCATTTTTTTAACTTGTTGAACATTTTAACTATGAACTTTATCTGACGTTTTGTCCACTGTGGTGTCAGTGGAGTCTTATTGAAGTGTCGTGGGCTATTTTGAGTGGTTTATTCCTTTGCTTTTTCATATCACTTGTATGATCAATTTGACCATCCTACACCTCTTCTTATTACTCATCTAGTACAATTTTAGTACTTCTTTTATGCAAGAAACTATTTCTTAACCTCTTTCTCTTAGGAGCCCTGGACTGGGTAAACATCCAGGTACTGATACTTTAACTCAATGTGTGACCTCTGCCTTTCCCGGAATCAACACCACTTTGTCACTGAACTGTATTTACTACAGTCACGTCAGAGAAAAACCATGTACTATTCAAACTTATGAAAAAGGAAAAACTTGTTGATACTGTTCTCCACAGTTTCTGTAATTGAGGTATAAACTTGTAGTGATGTTCTTTTGAGTCAATTTTTCTTTCACTGCCTCCTTTCTGTGTTGTGAGGAGATTGGGATCACTGCCCAGCTCCATGAGTCTTTTTCTTTATTGTTAAAGCTTTTGGTATCTTGATTAAGAAGCTTGTTATCCTGAAGATCAAAAGATGTCCTCTGAGTAGTAAGTAGGTAAAATCTACTAGTGAGTTATACCCAAGCCCATATTTCCTTCTCAGCACTTTGTTGTTCTTGTTTCACACTGAGATCTATAGCCTACCCTAACTAGTTTTGTGTATGATAGGGGGAAAATGTCACCCTTTTTTTCCATGCAGATACCCATACACTCATTTCTTTGTTATCTTTACTATAAATCAAGTTGTCTCTGTCTGCTTCAGTTTGTTTCTAGACCCCTTATTATGTTCCAGTGATTTATCTTTGTGCCAAAACTATACTATTTTCACAAAGTTATAATAAATCTTGGTATGTGGTGGAGCAAATCCTATCTTTTAATTTTTAATAAAAATTACTTGGCTTTTCTTTCCCTTTGCATCTCTGAATAAATTTTTATCCAGCTATACACACACACAAACACACACACACACACATTTGGGGATGACATCAAGTCTGTAACAGGGATTTGAAGAGTGCTCTATTTTGGATTTGGACTGTCCCTTAAAGGCCCATGTGTTAAAGTCAGGTCCCTCAGTGGCACTATTGAGAGGTGGTGGAACCTGTAGATATGGGGTTGTAGGAGAGGAAGTTAGATAGTTGGGGGCATGCCCTCAAAGGGGACTACAGGTCCCCAGTCTCTTACTCTCTCTTTTTTCACTTCCTGGACATGACCTGAGGTGCCACATGTTCCCCACCATGGTGCACTGTCTTACCACAGACCTAATAGTAATAGGGCCAATTTATCATAGATGAAACCTCCAAAATAAACCTTTTCTCTTCATAAGTGGAGTTAGCTTAGGTCTTATAGTGATGAGAGCTGACTATAGGAATAACAGACATATGGCCATGTATGCTATGTTCATTTTTACCACATGAACATAGCATACATGGCCATATATTAAAATCTTTAATATCTGTCAGTAATGGCCTATAATTGTAACAATAGGGGTAATTCACTAATTTTGCTTTTTCTAGAAACTTCACCCTTTTTATCAATGCTATGACAAATAATTTATTTTCCGTTTAATTGTCTGTTTACATGAGTATGAAATGATTTGTTTTATATCCATCAAACTTACTAAACATTCATATCAATTCTAAAAATGTATCTATATGGCTGGGGATGAGGCTTCATGGTAGTGCATTTGCCTAGCATGCACAAAGTCCTAGTTCAATTACCAATACTGCAAAAATACAGAAGGTAAATAGATAAAAATATCTCCATAAATTCTTAATATTTTTCTATATAGAGAATCATGATCTGTGTAAATAGTGAAGTTTTTCTTTTTTTCTGTTCTACTTCTGATATCTCTTATTTGTTCCTCTTAACTAATTGTATTTGTTAGGGTCACTGGATAGGAAGATGTAATGGTCTTGTCTCTTCATAAATTTCAGAAGGAATGCTTCCCACACATCACCCTTGTTTTGCTGCTGTGACTCAAAGATCTGACCAAAACAATTTTAGAGAAGTAAAGTTTATGGTTTCAGAGGTCTCAATCCATAGACATCAGACTCCACTCCTCCAGGCTCAGGGTGAGACTAAACATCGTGGAGGAAGAGTGTGGCAGAGGGAAGCAGCTCACATGATGATCAGAAAGCAAGAGATTGAAACTCCACTCACCAGGTACAAAATATATGCCCCAAAGCCATGCCCCCTATACCCCACCTCCTTCAGTTATCGCTCAGTAAATGCCATCAGGGGATTAATTGAGTGAATGGATTAAGGCTCTCACAACCCAATTATTTCTTCTGTGAACTTTCTTGCATTGTCGCATGTGAGCTTTTGGGGGACACCTCACATCTAAACCATAACAACCCTGTTGTAGGATACTTGCTCTGGATTTTTGAGGATCTCTTAATGTAAGTTCTTGTCTACTCCTTCTTTGCTAAAAATAATTTTATTAAATACATTTCTACAACAATCAAAAGGATTTTGTTCCTCTTGTAAGTGCTTAGGTGGTTACTATAGTTCGAAAAAATTCATGCGTTTGAATCCTAATCCCCAAATTAATGCATTAATGGTATTTGTAAATGGGGCCTTTCAGAGATGAGGACTTAGATGAAGTTCTTGAGGGTGGAGTTCCCAGTATGGAGCTAGAGAAAAGAGAGAGAGACCCAAGCTGGTACATTTACTCTTTCTCCCCTGTGATATGCTCCAACATGTTATGATGCAGTAGGAAAGCCCTCACCAGATGCTGACACCATACTCTTGGACTTCTCAGCCTCCAGAACAGTGAGCCAAATAAACTTCCATTCTTTAAAAATTACTTAGTCTCTAGCACTTTGTTAAAGCAACATAAAATGGACTAAAACAATGGTAAATCATACATGTTGATTTTCTAATATTAACTAATCTTACATCTGTGGCATAAAATCAATTTGATCATGGTGTATTACCCTTTTCTTGTAGCACTGCTTTGGTTTACTAATATTTTCGTGCTGGGATTGGCAGAAAACTTTATTTTCTCAGACTGTTTTTACCAGGTTTTGGTATGAATGTTATCTAACCTTATAAAATTGTACCAGAAAGGTTTATATAAGATTGAAATTAATCCTTTCATGAATGTTGATATGATTCCCCTAAAACTCATCCAGGTCTGGTCTTTCTCATTTGGGAAAATTTTTGATGACTGAGTCAGTTTTTTTTAATCATTAAGAGAACCATTTTGGTGTGTGTGTGTGTGTGTTTGTGTGTGTGTGTGTGTGTGTGTGTGTGTGTGTGTGTGGTGTGTTTTAAATTTCAATAAAATGTTTTTTTAGGAAACTGTTTTTTCCCCCAAATTTTCTAGTTTGTTATCATATTATACATTCCTCATAATATTTTTTTAACTTTTTAATGACTGCAAAATCTGTACTGATTGGTTTGGGGGTGTGTGTGATGCAAGTGGATCTCTCCTCATCATTGTTTACATCTATTTGTGTATAGGATATTTTTTTGGTAAAATGATATTTAATTCCATCATTCTTTTTATTTTATTTTGATTTGTTTTACTTATTTATTTGTTTTTGGTTCTAGGGATTGAATTCAGGTCCTTGCATGTGCTAAGAACGTGCTCCACTGCTGAGTTACACCCCAGGCTCCTGCCTATCACACTTGATTTATTATTTTGAGAGAAATAGAGAAAATGTACCCTCCTTAACCTGGTTACCCTGAGGCATGTTTCCTATAAGAAAAGCAGGCTAAATGTTTAAACTCTTTCCCTTATTTGCTAGGTTCCAGAATACTGAGTTTGCCTGTAACTGTCCTAAAGGTAACCAACGAAGCTTTGAAATTTATTACTATCATTATAAATTCAAGAATGCTAACACATTAATCATCCTTTTAAGCATTGCAGTTATTTTTCTTATGGACGCCGATATCCTTCCGTTTGGTCAGTGAGACCCGCTTACTGCTGGCTCCCAAGTTGTTTCGACCTGGTCCAGTGGTTCAGCAGCTTCCTTGTTAAATGTATGTCCTTTCTGGTTTTCTTCAGCGTGTAGCCCAGTATTTCCTGTCTTGTTTCAATTTCTCTATGTCTAATTATTTTATATAGTCATCTTTCTAATCTGTGTTCAGGAGACGCTTGTTCCAAATTACCTAGACAGTCCTTACTGGAAGTGACCAGAAGCAGCAATGAGACCCATTCGTTGGTTTATATAACAAGTCTGCATTGAGAACCTACTTTGTGGTAGATTCTACGGTGGAATACGAAGATGAATCAGACACTGTCACCACCCTCAAAGAATTTGCAGTCCCCTGGAGAAGTTGATGAATACCATGATTTCTGGGCAAAATAAAAGACATGAAGCCTGTAAGTTCTAGCAGAATTTCAAAGTAATTGGTGGGCTTCCAGGAGGTGATGTCTGAAAGTTTGAGCAGGGCTTGGACATGATGAGACAAGGGAAAGCATTACCTTCTCTGCCTTTACATCCACTCAGCAGAGCATGAGGGAACAGCCAGAGCTCCTGTACCAGGAGCCTCCTCTTGCTCAAGCCATCCCAAATGCAAGACTGCCTCCAAGAAGGGGTTGTGGACCCCACCTGAGAGCTTTGGATTTCTACTCTCACAATTTGAGCAAGTAAACTAGCCTTTACAGGAAAATGCAAAGTGCCACAGAGAAACCTTTTCTATCCACGATTCCCTCTCCATGGGGACCTCTTTAATATTAATCCTCACAAGAGAACTGAGTCAGAGGAGACAAACTTTGGTATAATTTTTCTACAGTCAAGTACAGAGAGGAGAAGTGGAGTTATTTGGGGAATTATTCAGGTGAAAACCCAAACAAACAAACAACAACAAAACAACCCAGAAAAAGTAGCATGGTTTATTCAAGGACACGAAATTAAAGAGCAATTTTTCCAACCAAGGTAAAAGAATCATTTCAGATCCTCATGGGTGAAAGAGAAGGGCCAGAGTCCCAGAGGCCTGGCTGACTTGCCCCGCCCCCCCCCCCCCACACACATACAAACGGACCCAGGGTTCTGCTGTGGGAGCTGCAGGGCCAGAGCACACTGAGGGGCAGAGGGAGCTGAAATGCTGGATGGGAAAGTGAATTCCAAGTCAGTGTGCTGGGGGTTGGAGGGAAGGTAGTGACTCAAAACTCTGGGCCTCAATGTCTAAAAAAGGTAAAAATGTCAAGGACAAAGTGAAGGGAACAGAAGAAGGCTCACCTCTGCCTCCTTTCAGCTTTGATGATCTTTTCATCGAGGAAGAACATAAAGGATCACCACCATGAACTTGACGGATGCCCGGTTACAAGAACCTGGCTTTCTCCCCTCTACTGACCTCCTGGGTTCCTCTGCTGATGTGCTTTGAAGGACAGGAAGGATGTTCAGACAGAGGGCCAGGTGTCTTTGGGACCCTGGAGTCCTACCTGTGCACAGCCTTGGGCAGGTCGTGTGTAAAGACAAGGTGGTCTATAAATTCTCCATTTGCCTTAAAGCAAAGGTGTGGCTTCTAACTTCACTGAATTTAACTGTAGAAAACTCTGACTCCCAGTCCCTAGCACTATGAGAAATAAACGCCGATTTGATCATCCAGTCCGTGGTTCTTATTTGTAGCAGCTCAAGCAGGCTAAAGTATTCGATGGAAGTCACAATCAGAATTTCCCTTTCTTTGTATACCCTTGTCTAGTGTCAGCTTTCCTGAGAAAACTGTGTCATTAACACAGACCAAACAGGGTTGTGTCTTTCCTCAGTGCCATAATTTATTAAATAACAATAAATTCACAGGCTACACCACTTCTTCGGTGGGCAGAGACTGCTGGCATCCTTACTTGGAATTTCGTTCACTCTTTGGCATCTTTTATTGAATCCTAAGGGACATGACGGGTCCACACATGCTCCCCAGAGGAAACCCTGCTTGGACAAGGATGTGCACGCAGTGAGTGCCCCTGCCAGCATGTACCAAGATGGGAAATGCCCACGCTCACCGCCATGTAGTGGGGAGCTCCATACCTCCCAGGGTGTTCTCCCACTTCTGTGGCTCTGTGGTTAATCCACTCTCCATAGCTGCTCTTTACCAGGTCATGGGCCCAGACACTGTAACAAAGACACTATCCTTCTCTCACTTCAACCCCCTCAAGTACAAGATCACAGGAACTGAGTCCCAAGGTTAACTGGCACAGGACCACTGAATGATAAGGGCCACCCCAGGATCTGAATTCAGCCCAAGCTCTTAAATGCAATGTCCTGCTGCTTCTCAGAACCATCCCAGTCACGGGAGCTGGATAATATTTATTTTCAGTCCTTTTCATGGAGCACATGATCTTGTGTCTCTTTGGCAGCAGCCTATTTCCCACTCTTTGGAAGGGGACCATCTCTCTGCTCCCGACTTAGAGGGGAACTGATGGAACTGTTCTCTCATCAGATCCCAGGTGTGTGATGAGAAGAATAGGACTTGCTTGAGCTAAGTGTCATACTACACAAGGATGACCAGCCCCAGTGTGTCCCTGCAGGCCAGAAGCTCTGGTTTGTCATAAAGCTCAAGGGAGTCGTTTAAACTTTCACCCTCTCCAAATGCTGCACAGTGACAGCACACAGGTCTGGTCTGTGACTTGGATGACAAAGGCTCTACAAGGTGTTTCACTCCACCCTGTCACACACACATGGGAATCACCAGTGTCTCCTATTGTCTCTTCCTCCATGTGCATCACCTTTGTACCCTGACTCCATTCCACCAGCATCTGGCCTGGAACACTGTGAACCCTCTGACCGCCTCCCTGGGCCCCACCTGCCTCCCTTGAGTCCATTCCACCTGCTGCCTGCCTGCACATCCAGTGAGCTAAGAATGGGCTTCACACTTGCATGGGTAGGGAGAAAAATCAAAAGGAGATTTCATGATGTGCAGAAATTGTATGAACTTCAAATTTCATTGTCCCAAAACAAGTTTTACTGACACGTGCCCACATTCATTCACAGGCATTACCTGTGGCTGCTCTCAGGCTACAAGGGAGCCTTGTGTTATTGTGTCACCAGAGACACAGTATGGCCCACAAATGAAAATGTTTACTATCTGGTCCTTTACAGGAAACCTTTGCTGATGTCTGACTCCACACAATAGACTGTGATCTTTTTAAAATGCAATTCACATCCGGCCCTGGTAGCACACATACCTGTAATACCAGTGTCTCAGGAGGCTGAAGCAGGAGGATTGAGAGTTCAAAGCTACCCTTAGCAACGATGAGGCTCTGAGCAACTCAGTGAGACCCTGTCTCTAAATAAAATAGGACTGGGGATGTGGCTCAATGGTCAAGTGCCCCTGAGTTCAATCCTTGTTACCCAACAACAACAACAACAAAGGCAATTTACTTACCATTTCCAGGGCATTTAAATTAAATTCTAAAATGAAGGAGAATATAAGAAAACCCACATGAGCTGGGTGTGGTGGTGCAGGCCTGTAATCCCAGTGGCTCAGGAGGCTGAGATAGGAGGATGGCAAGTTCAAAGCCAGCCTCAGCAAAAGTGAGGCACTCAGCAACTCAGTGAGACCCTGTCTGTAAATAAATACAAAATAGGGCTGGGGGTGTGGCTCAGTAGTTGAGTGCCCCTGAGTTCAATCCCCAGTATATATATATATATATATATATAAAACTAGCCCTATCTTCCTCTCTAACTTTCCCTCCATTTGTTCTCCCCATACTCATGCTGCCTTCTGGCTGCTCCTGTTCCTACTGAGATTGTCCCTTCCCAGGCTGGGCTCTAGCTGCAATGTGCTTTCTCAGAGTGGCACAGGGCTGGATCCTCCTTGGTGTTCACATCCAAAAGAGGTCTTCCCGATGGCACCAGTCAGCTTTTTGTCATGGAGACAAAACACCTGAGAATAACAACTTGCAAGAGGAGAGATCTATTTTGGCTCATGGTTTCAGAGGTTTCAATCCACGGTTATCTGACTCCATTTCGTTGGGTCTAAGGTGAGGCAGGACATCATGGCAGAAGGCTGTGCTGGAGGAGAGCTGCTCACCTCATGGCAGCCAGGAAGCGGAGGGAGAGAGGAAGGAGTCAGGGACAAGGTGGAGTTCCCAAAGGCACACCCGCACAGACCCACTTCCCCCAAACTGGTTCTACTTCCTAGGGTTTCCACCACCTCCCAATATTCTATGCAGTTCTAAATCCCTCAGTGGGTGGATCCACCGACGGGGTCAGGGCCCTTGCAATCCAATCACTTCCCCAAACCCCTGCCTCTGAACATGGCTGCACTGGAGACCAAGCCTACAACACACAATCCTTGGGGAGACATTCCTAACCCAAACTACAACACCATGGATTTCACACCATGGATTCTACTCTCTGATCAGCACCTATCACTTTCCAATATTTCACTGGTTTATCTATTTAGTTATTCTTATTTACTACCTCCGGCATTTAGAACCAAAATTCCATGAAAGAACAAAACCTAATGCTATTCCACACTTTCCCTAGAAACTGGGGCAGCAGAACCTCAGTATCTGTTAAAGAATACATGATGGCCAAGGTGATTGTTATGGTAGTGATGGTGGTGGTGATGACGGTATGTGGTGACAGTGGTAGTAAGATGATGAGTTAGCACAAACTAAAGTGGATCAATGACTTAGGCTCTAGAACAGAGATCCTGTGCCTAACAGAAGAAAAAGTAGGCTGACATCTCTACCATGTAGGCATAGGAACTGACTTCCGTAACAAGACTCCCAAAGCCCAAGAAGTAAAATCAAGAATCAAAAAATGGGATGGAATCAAACTAAAAAGCTTCTTCACAGCAAAGAAAACAATAACATGAATAGAAATCCTACAGATTGAGAAAAAAATCTTTACCACACACACTAACTAAATGAGGTCAGATGGAGCATTCATCTCCAGAATATACATAAAAAAACTCAAAAAACTTAACACCAAAAAACCAAATAACCAATCAATAAATAGGAACCAAGGAACTGAATAGAAACTTCAGAGAAGAAGGAATACAATTGATCAACAAATATATGAAAAAAAAGTCCAACCTCAATTACAGAAATGCAAATCAAAACTACACTGAGATTCTGTCTCACTCCAGTCAGAATGGCAATCATCAAGAATACAAGCAACAATAAATGTTGGTGAGGATGTGGGGAAAAGATACACTCATACATTACTGGTGGGATTGCAAATTGATGCAACCAGTATGGAAAGCAGTATGGAGATTCCTCAGAAAACTAGAATGCCACCATTTTGACACAGTTTTCCCGCTCATTGGTTTATACCCAAAGGACTTAAAATCAGCATATTATACCTATGCAGCCACATTGATGTTTATATTTAAGCAGCTCAACTTATAGTAGCTAAACCATGGAACCAACCTAGGTGCCCTTCACAGATGAATGGATAAAGAAAATATGGCATAGAAAAACAACAAATATTACTCAGCCTTAAAGAAGAATGAAATTAAGGCATTTGCCAGTAAATAGATGGAGCTGGAGAATATCATGCTAAGCAAAATAAGCCAATTCTAAAGAACCAAAGATATGAAGATGCTAATTCACAATAAGGGGTGAGGAGCTAGGCAAGAATAGAGGTACTTTGGATTAGACAGAGGAGAGTGAAGGGAGGGAGAAAGGATAGTAGAATGAATTGGACATTATTACTGTATGTGCATATATGATTATACAACTGGTATAACTCTGTATCATATACAAAGAATGAGAAGTTATACTCCATTTATGTATGATGTGTCAAAATGTATTCTACTATCATATATAACTAATTAGAACAAATTTTTAAAAAGAGAATGGGAAAAATGAAAGAAAAAAAAAGATGATGAGTTAGCAGATGTGCAATCAGATCTTGTGACGAGACCCACATTTCTGTACATCAAGATGCTTGGGCTGTCTGTGGCATACAACAGACTCCAGGTCTATTGGACCATTGGACATGTTATCAATGCCGAGACCTATCAAACGTGAAACAAATTGGTAGAGGGTGCCAGAAGTTATCTCCTCCATACTCTGGACTTGATGGCTACTTGGTCATCCTCACAGCAGAGAGAATTCAAAATTAAAAGCATCAAGGTTTTAAATGTAAAAATAATATGTTTATGGTGAAAAATAGAAGGTAAAGAAAATCTTGAAGAAGAAAATTAGAACCAACCAAAATAAGCAAGCTTAACATTTTGATATCCTTTCTTCCAGGTGTTTTCCATGTAAATATGCATATGTTTTGTTCTTGATAGATCCAGATCCTCTTTCGAGATTATATAGATCTGGACTGACCTTTTTTTTTATTTTTTGATTGGCCATTATTTTTTATTGGTTGGGGAGTATCTTACATGATCGGATAATATCCTTTTATTTTTGTGGAAAGTTAAGGAAAAACATTAACTGATATGATTTTTTGTTATTCTATAGCTTTATAACATTTGAGAATTCCTGAATAAGAAACTCTTTTTTAAATTTATAGATGACAGCGGAATGCATTATGATTTTTATTACATACTTAGAGCACCAATTTTTCATATCTCTGGTTGTATACATAGTATATTCACACCCAATTCGTGTCTTCATACATGTACTTTGGATAATAATGATCATC